GTAGCCAATTTTTTACAAAAGAGTGTGGTGAACTTTACCCATGGATATAACCTAGTCAAGCGTGGTTGGAAGTCCTATACCACACATGGTTGATAAAGTGTTTAGTGGTATCCATTATCGTATGTTGAATGGGGATTCAAGTGTAAAGTGATTAGTGTATAATATTCACAAGGTAGAGATGATTCTTAATGTTCTCAATGGTATCGATAAAATGCCATTACACAATGAAACTCTATAATAAGTAAACGTGAACATGTAAATGGAAATAAAATGTGAGAATTAGTAAAAGTATGTGCATATGTGAATAAGTGATAAGTACTCGTGATATCATTAAGTGCAACTGAAAGTGAAATAGTTATGATATGTGTGAAAGAAAGTGAACTTTGAGTAAGAAGAAGAAAAGTTGAAATAAGAATCAATAAGTATGAGCAAAATGAAAATTATTAGTTACAAAATGATAAAGATGCAGGAAAAGAAAAGACAATGATATTGAATTTATTACTGTTAGCATGAGTTTTGTTTAGAAACAAGAATAAAATTTGTAAAACATGAGAACAATAAGTGAAAATAAGATTTTAGGAATTCTATCAGAAGGAATTTAAAACAAAAGAAATTATTTAGTAAGTTCTCATATTTAAATTGTTTTCTAAGAATTTTATTTTTAGTCGGTAGTTTTAAATGTTCTATAGATTTTTAGATAGATTGTTTCAGTATAAGATAATATTTATATCCTTACTAAACGAGTGAAGCTCACCTAAATTCATTGTGGTTCTTTTTATAGTAGGATACTCAGTTTCAGACTCCTGATCAGTAAAGGATACACTGTGTGGGTATTACTCAAGTTGTAAAAAATATAGGGTTAGTACCTTCTTATTGATATGAAAACCTTATGCGTAGATATGCCTTAGTTTGTTGTATGTATTTGAAATACTTATGCAAGAGATAAATCTATGAAATCTTAATTTTAAATATTGCGTGTGCTTAATATGTTTATTGGTTCAACTAGTAAAAAATGATTTGCGTAAGTGTAGGATTCTAAGCAGAGTAGGGACGTTACAATTACTTATTTAAAATTTTTATATCTTAATAATTATAATTTATGTATTACTGAATGCTATGGTGGTGTTTTAGAATAAGATCATATGTAAACTTATCAGTCAAATGCTATGGTGGTGTCTTAGAACACGATCATATATAAACTTACAAATGCTATGGTGGTGTCTTAGAACATGATCATATGTAAACTTATCAGTCAGAGTAACCAATAGCTCTTTTAAAAAATAGCAATAGTTTTATTGACACTTAGAAAATTGTCTTAAACATGGTCATCTATGAATCCTCTTACTCATTTTGGCATGTACTTTTTGGGGAAAATGGTAGCACCTTCATGGATTAAGAAACCATCTCAAAGTGGGTCGTTTATTAAGCTATTGCCCATTTTGGCACATTAGTTCTTAAAACAAATAGCAATAATTTTATCGATGTTATGGAAACTTTATCTAACTATCCCTTTTGTGAGTTCTTCCTTCATAGAATAGCAACGATTTTACTTAGGACTTCATTATCACATATTGTACAAAATTTAAATTTTATGAAATTTAAAAATATTAGAGATTACATATAAAGTTTTAGTGTTAGATATTAATATTTAAACTAAATAAAAAATTATTTATAATTAATAAAATGAAAACATATAATATATAATATTATAAATAAGATATTTAAGATGTAAATGTAATAGTGGTATTAGTTCAATGAGTTTAATATTATATATATAGGTTTTATTATACATTGATAATATAAATTTTTTCTAACAACTAAGCATTTAAATTCAAAATCTACCAATTTTTTCAACAGATTCTATCATTTTAACTTTAGTGTCTTAACTACCGAATGTAAAAATTGATGTTTTCAATAGATTGGATGCACTATTATAACTAGTATAATCTTAATTTTAATTGATGATCATTATATTCAAATAGTGAGGATGACTTTTCTTGAGGATATATATACTATAATTTTAAAGTCTTTGAAGATGAATCATGGACAATAAAAGCTTACTTCTATGATGAGCCAACGTATCTTCATAAAAGAATGATGATTCATAGGTATATAGAAATATAGAAATCTAAATGTATGTTAAGACTTCATAACTCATAATAAAGAAATAATATTCTGCAAGAACATAATTTCATATTTTACATTTTGAATTAAAAAAGTCTTGGACTTTAACTTAAAATTTGATCAAGAGATTTGCACTTTTTTCTTTTCCTGTGGAGCTCCAAAAATTATTTAGACGATTCTTTCGTCAGAAAATCTTTTTTCTGCTCCATTCTTTACCCTTTTTCTTCAGAGCGAAAAGCGACAGCTAGCATTTTTTTTTATTTGAGATTTTCGTTTCTTTCTTCTTCTTCTAAAAGGGTTTTACAGAGTGTAGAAAGGAAGAATCTTCACCTTCAGAATTTTATTTCTTCTTCGGGACCCCCTTATTTATAGACAAAGGAGGGTTGGCTTCTTCAACACGTCACCGTCACCGTCACATCCACTTGCTGAAATCATCATTATTATCATCTACGACAACAACTTCTTCCTTTCTTCTCCTCCAAGCTTGCTGTTAGCTTCTGCCCCTTTTGTGTCTCCCTTGCTTGTTCACTTATGGTCGAGCTACACCGTCTCAGAGTCATCATCTCTAGTGCATTTCTGGCAAACACTGATAGGTGCCCAGAACAATCACAAGAAGGATTGCACGTAAGTTTCTATTTTTGGGATAAAAAAACCACACTTTTTTATTTTATTTCTTGCTTACCCCCTCATCCATAATCTGATGAGGTTTAAATAGAAATGAAACGACAACTTCTCCTTGCTATCCAGGGAGCACGACGCCAGTAACAACCAAAAAAAATCTCACACAAAAGGATAAGATCAATGCTGAAATTAAATAATAAAAAAAGGGGGAAGTTGATGCTGAATAGTCTGACCGGATCTTACGGGAGTTCGGCTTGCTTCCACGATACCGGAATCAGAGATATTTGGGATTCTTGACCAGGATCCTTGATGATCTTCTGGTTGTATCAAACACCATTACTGTCGCGTTGCCGTCACCTAAATCATCATCTCCAGTCGATATTCCTTCTTCCATTTAACTCCATGTTCACACGGTTCCTTCTTCTTTCTTATTCCTTTTTCTCTTCAGGTTCTTACCTCTCTTCTCTTCTTAGGGACGTCGAATATCCCCTTCAATCGTGTTCCCAGTTAAGCTGTTTCCCACCTGTAAACTGAAAAAATAAACTCTAACCTCCCCTCTTTCTGCCGAGGCCAGGGTGAGGAGGTGATTTAAAGGCCCCTTTTAAAACAACAACATTTTGTAGGCAGTTTAAGAAGCTTCCTCAAAACATTGGTCTCTGAAATGGAGCTAGGCCGAGAAAAGGGAAAAGAAGAAAATGGGTTGTGTTGTCTGGCCACTGCTGGGAAACCTTCTTTGAACTTGACGATCATGTCATCTCTAAAGATTTGAACTTCCTTATGCTTAATATCATGAAACATTCTTTAGCCCAAACGGCATGACCTTGTAATAGGAAGTTCCTTACAAGATAAATTACGTATAATATAAATTCAAAATAAAATTCTGTTGGACAGTTGGAAACAAACGTTTCAATATTACCATAAAATTCTGTATAACATAAACCGCTAGATAAATTGAACCGTATATCTTATACAGAGTTGGAAACAAATAAATTCCACGAAGAATTTATAGTGAATTTCTTGACAAATCCAGAATTTTATTTTTGAAAATAACGAATGAAAAAGTGAATTTCATCTGGAATTTGACTCTGATGCTGAGGAATTTGGAAATGAACTTCAGAAATGCTTCAGATATTAACAGAGCATGATAAGCCTATTTACATAAGAACAAATAAACCGATAGAATCTAGGGAGTCGAAACCAACAGAAGCCCATAACATTCACTCAAATTGAGTTGCAGGAAAGTGATGGATTGACGGTGTGAACCCTAAAGTAGTAGCTGACAAGCTGCAAATTACAGCAACATGTAGACGCATAGGGACGAAATTTGTTCATGTTTTCGGTAACCAAACAAGAGGAGAAAGAGAATAACTTTAATTTTAATAAAAAATAAATAATTTTTTGCAAATAAATTGGATAGTTGATATTTTATTTTTTAAAATATAAATTTGAGTGAGATTTAATATTAATTGTATTATTATTATTATTTAAATACTATTTAGTTTTTAATTTTCAAGGTCACAGATTAGCTGACCAAACAAAATCTTGATCCAATTTTTTAAATATTAACAATAATAATAATAATATATAGCTAATCAGAAAGGTCAAAAGGAAAGCAGTATTTTCTAGGTGAGATGGTTTAGAAGGTGAACAAACTACATGGATTATAAAGGAAAATATAACCATAAATCACCAAAACACTTGTTATATAAACCCAAAGGATCTCCTCCAATTCTTCCACGCAAACCAACTAACTTATCATCAACCATTGATTTGGATATTAGTCATCCCAAAAATCTTAGTTCCTAATAATTACATTCGGTGATCATGACTTTTTATCACAGTTTCCTCATGTTAGTTCTCTTTATCGCTTTATCATGTTCAAATATGAACGTAGGCTTTGCGGGCCGTTATCTCCTGTAGCTGCCACCATTGCCAATGATGTCGAGTCTTCCTCGACCTCAGCCAACTCTGCCACCAATGCCTTCCATGCCTAATCTACCGCAGCCGAGTCTGCTTTCACTTCCTACAATTCCCAACAATCTCCCATAGCTGACATTGCCTCCACTCCCAAGCAATCTGCCTTCTCTCCCCACCATCCCAACTACAATCCCCTCTATCCCACTCCTCTTACCTCCTCCTACTACAACTAGTCCTTGATTAGCCTATATATATACACATATATGTAAATATTGTTTCTCTTCTATGTTATTTCTCGGCTTATACATTATGGAAGTGATCAACATACATATTGTGGATTGGTGGGACATGCACTAGCTACCAGTTTGTATATTTTCTTTTGTTTTTTTTCTTCTTAACATTTTTTAAACTTGAGATTATATATTTATTCTATGTATGAGCTTAGCAGCTGCTTTGTTAGCTTGCTATGTAACTTTGTTCTTTAGTATGTGTTTAATTTATTGAGATGCTATTATATAATACATATATATATATATATATTGTATACTTTATACATATACATGTGCTCATTGCCATTTCTTGAAAATTAAATCATAAATAATCTGAAAATATAAAAACGATAAAATTGTATAAATTATTTTGCAATAGAAGAACAATCATACAAATCAGGATAATATTGCAAAGCATATTTAAGTTTTATTTAGTCTTTTATTGAATTTCATACGAAGTTAATGCAACATATATCCATTGAGGATAGAAAGGGATCCCCGATTATCGCTGTGAATCACCGACTCATTATCGGGTCCTTATCATCTCCCCATCTAAACTATGACCATGACTATATGTTCGCCACTGTGGTCCTACATATACCTAACGGGTATACTCTCTCATAAGAGGGAATGTCGATCATCACCGAGATCAGTTCACCAACACTTATTCAAATGAGAGAGAAATAAAAATCCCTCAGATATAAAGGTTAAATGAATTTATTCCTTCTTTTTACTTGTTTAATTCATGCTCACAACAACATCATATTTCTTTCTTATGTATGCTGCATGTTTAACGTAACCATTCCTGAATCCGTTAAGGATTCCACATTTTATCTAGTCTGAAAGCTCATATTCGGCCCGAAGGCTCATTTTACCCGGACTTGACCTTCGAGTTATCCTTTTAAATTAAGGTCCACTAGAATAACTCTTTTCACCGTTACTAAGGTAAGGCAAAGGGTCAAACTTGCATATAGTTCCAATTATCATTTTTCATGCATTGTGCTCTACATTTCCATGATTAAATAATATCAAACACGAAGACATTAAACATTGAATCAACAAGTTCGACCATGTGAATCATCAATCTACCAAGGTTTCATACATCTTAACCATACAACATACTCTCATGTATCATGTATCATGCCTCATGTTTAGATCTCGGTGGGGGTCCAACACATTTGGCCAAAGTTCTATTATCTCCGGACTTGACCATCAGGATATTCCTTGAAGCCGGGGCTCCTTAAAATACCTCTATTTGGCTTTACCAATGTTAGGACAAAGGATCAATATCCTTAAAATCGCATTTTGTCATTCGTTCAAAAATAAAGCATAAAATCACATAAATATATTCTCAAGCAACACATATAAAAGTATCTCACCAAATAAATATGAAAAATTCGACATAATTATTTTACATTTTCATCATTTTATTTAGCTAAAAAGAGCACTTAGCCTTTTGGAAGTGAAGGAAAAGCTTCTGGAAATTTTTCGAATGAGCATGTGAAACTCCTATCTTTCTTTTCTTTCTTGCTCCTTTCTCTCCCAAAATATCTTCTCTTTCTCTCTCTAAATTTAGAAATTGAAGTAGGAAAAATGGTGTGGAGAAATGGAGAAGGGGTTTAAATAGGAGAAGGAAAGGCCAGATTTATGCCTCTTTGTGGAAATTAACAAAATGGAGTGAGGGGGTGGATTTGGCGCCCACCAAACATGGCCGAAAAAGGAGAAGAAAGGCCAAGCATGGCCTTTGGCTGAAGGGAAAGGTGTCTCGTTAGCTATTAAGCACGTACAACATTATGCGCATG